CTTGCACAGGCAGTCGGCGCATCACAGCCTCCCCTCCTCCCCTTCCGTTTCCTGTTCCTCTTGCGCCAGGGCTGCCTTGTGATCTTTGATGGCCGCGTAAGGGCGCCGCCTCCTGTGAGGGAGATCCGATGCGAGGCGTCTCGGCGAGGCGATCGACACGCGGGCGTGGGCGGACGTCAACGCTTCCGCAGCGCACAGGGCGCAACTGCGTGCGAGATGACTTCTGGCCGAAGAGGTTGTGCGGGAGCTCCCCCGGGCGACATGAGAAACCCGCGAGACTGGATCGCGCACAAGGTGGGTGGGGTGGGGGCGAGGCTGGTGCCGTGGGCTTCGCCATGAGAACCTTTCGTGCCTTCTGGGGCCTTCCCGGAGGCAGAACTACAGCACGTACGTGCGATGACAAAGCTTTCAATAAGAAATACAAAGCCGCATCCGTCGCCAATTCTGACCTTCGCAGGGTGTCCCAAGGCTCTGCCGGCCAATTGGGAGAAAAGATCAGAGATCATCGTGGGCATGGGACCGTTCAATTTACAGGAGCGCCTCGCCGCTCTCAAAAAGCCACCCCACCTCGCCCTGGGCCCAGACCGCCCGACGTCACGATGTGTTCACAACGTCCACCCCCAGCGGTCTAGACCCGTTCCCTGGGACCGCTGTCTCATCCAGAGTCGTCCTTTGACGGCTCCGAATCCTGGTAAGGGCACCGGGCGGCGAAAACAGCAAAAAACCTCAGGACGTGATTTCTCCACGACGGGCGGAGCCGAAACGGGCGGAGCCGACACGGGCCGAAGCCGAAACGCGCCGAAGCCGAGAGGGGCGGAGCCGAAATGAGCCGAGCCGAAACGCGCTGAGGCCGAAACGGGCCGAAGCCGCAACGGGTCGAAACCGCAACGGCCCCGAAGCCGAAACGGCCCCGAAGCCGAAACGGGCCAGAAGCAGAAGCGGGCCCTAGTCCGAAGGGGTGCTGCCCCCCCCGCCCCGCGAGCGCCTGCGCGCCGCGGGCTTCTCGGGATCTGACAATGAGACCCTCGAGGCAGACATGTAGAGGCAAACGGGCGGACATATAGAGATAAACAAATGAAACATAATTGACGAAAGTATAAACAAACAAATGCCATATAACAACCACATCCAGAAATAACTTCTTCTATCATGAAACATCGTCGGGGACGTGCAGAATCCCACCAGCCCTCTGGGCGTAGGTGGTCTAGAGCAGATCCTCTTCCACCCCTCCCTCTTCCCCCTTGGGGAGGGGTTTACCCCTCCCCCTACCCCCTCCCCTGGACCTGGACGGGGGGGGCCGCGGGTAGTTAGAGCGGCCAAGATGGCCCAAGACGGCTCCAAGAGCGCCTCAGAGAACCCAAGATGAGCTCCAAGATGGCTCAAGATAGCGCAAGATCGCTCACGATGGCTCCTAAGATGGTTCCAAGAAGCCCAAAGACGGCCCCAAGATAACTCCAAGTGGCCAAACAGCTCCCCAAGGAGGCCCCGAAGAGGCCAAAATCGTCCCAAAACATAAGGAAAATCAATGATTTTTGCTTTCTCGCCTTTTCGCTTCCGATGGCCATCCGAGGCCTGGAGATGGCTCCAAGATGGCCCAAGAGGGCCCCAAGAGAGCCCCAAAAGAGCCCCAAGACGGCCCCAAGAGCGCCCAAGAGCACTCCAAGAGCGTTCCAAGAGGGGTCCAAGCGGCGATTTTAGGGGCTTCCGAGGGGGGGCGCTAATTCACCCCCCCCTCTTGTTTGATCGACTCCCTCCAAGATGGCCCCAAAAGCGCCCCGAAGGCTCCCCAGAGCGCCTCAAGAGGGTCCCAAGAGGCGCCCAAGATGCCCCAAGGCGCCCAAAAAAGCCCTCCAAGAGGCCCTCAAAAGACCCCCAAGAAGCTCCTTCCCCTCCTCCTCCTCCTCCTCCGATTCTTCCTCCTTCTCCGTCCTCCTCCTCCTCCTCCTCCTCCTCTTCCCCCTCCTCCTCCCTTCTCTCCTCTCCGACGAGCGGAGACGACGAACGACTCCTCTTGCCATCTCCCTTCGGGGTCTGTGACAGTTCCGCCTTTGTTTTATTCTGGCATGTTCACTCTTCCTGATCACCTCAACTCCCCTGAGCATCGTTTCTGGATGGGCTGGTGGGGATACGCGAAGCGTCAACAATTCTGAAACCTGCTCGCAGGCAGTCCACCAGTCTTACTACTGCGAATACGGCGACTACGACTACGACTACGAAAACAACTCATCTCACGAATGGAACTACAGCTACGACTAAAACGAACATGACGTTCTCTACGAATGCCGATACGTCCACTAGCCTACCACTGATTTGTGGGTCAAACTAGCACGATACGATCATTGCTAACCATATTACGAATACGTGTGCTGATACGAATCTTGGCACCTAGAGTGAAACTACTTCTACGACGAATGCTCACAACCATACGTACCCATGCCACGTGAGAGGCCGCGACGCCCGACCGATCCCGGATCCAACAACCCACGGGGGGCTAAAACAGGGCTAGGATCGGGATAAATCGCTCCAGAGCGTTCCGGAGCGCTCTCAGAGCGTTCCGGAACGCTCTGGAGCGGCCGCGGCGCCCAATA